CATTGATTTCGCAACGTAAGTTGTTTAGTTTCGTTTTGTTACTTTGACTCGAATTCTCTTTTAGCCTGAGATTCTGAAGCGTAAAGACAAGTGTGACCTCTCTCAGAGTCATTATGCCAGTGTTCTAACTATATACAACATTCTAATAATTTTTAACGACACTTACTTGTTTTCCACTAAGTGAAACCGATAAATGTTTATCAATGGATCAGGAATGATGTATTTACTTCCCAATTATTGACGTTCTATTACACTTTTATTTCCTCTTCTGATTATTGAGGAAATAAACTGCTTAGTTAAACTATTATGTTCATAAGATGATAAGTGGAATTTAAAAATCTCTACATCAACCGAATGAAATTTTGAGTTATCGGTTTAGTGCTATCAAAGTTATGCTATTGAACGTATGTTTTTTAAGGTTTACACTTTAGTAGTAACTCATGTTTTTGTTAAGCTTCAATCATCACTATCGGTTAGTTTACACAATAATTTTAAAAAATTTCCAATCTCTTTTAAAAAGTTAGGTGATGATAAACTCTAAAATATTTGATGAAAACTTACATTTGATAAAAAAGTGCGCTATAAAGTTATTTATTCATTGATTAGGCATACGTTTTTTCTACGTTACTCAAATATCTCTTCGATTTGGCTTTAGTTATAACTATGCAGTTGTTTGAAAGTACTGATTATTAGTTTTTCAAAATGGATACGTACTATTGAATAGGTTGTAATAAACTGGAATCAACACGTACATGTGTACATGTGTGTAATGTTGGCAACCAGAATGGTTTTCAGTACGTGTTCATCAATATAAGTTGAAGCGTTCTAACACCTAAATGCATGATGTCTATTTCAAAAAACGGTAAATTCAGTTTTGAGGTTTGTGGGGATTTATCTGTTGATTTCAGATTGGTAATCATCATAGAATGACATCAGTTAGAGAGCCATTAGAAACCTGGGGGTACTGGAGAGCTGTTTCATCCTTGTACGGGACTCCTCAGCAGTGTGCACCCATGACTTCGCCAGGGATCAAACCCAGGACCTTCAGGTTCCTTCGCCACCACTTTGCCAGTTACTCAAGGGTGTCTTTGGATGGAGGTCGCATCATGAAATGACAGTGGGAAATATGGACCATAGGATTCTGACCCAGTGGCTCAGTGGTAAAGTCATGGCTACGGAACTTGGTGGTCCCGGGTTCGAGCCCTGGAGGGTAGGGTCGTGGATGCTCATTGCTGAGGAGTCCCTTACGAGACTGAAGCAGCATCCTAGTGCTCACAGTCTTGCAATATTTCTGCAACTGATGTCAGTCCATGATGAATAACAACCTGGAAAATACTAAATGTTCCAGTGTATCATCACAATTACATGTTGTACTTTGAAGCATACAGGATGCAGAGTGATACTTCAAATGTAAAAAAACGTAAAACTTAAATGACTAATTTCTTTTGCTCTTTTTAACTAAAGGTTTAAAATGCTTCAAATTTGGCTTTCACACATAAAGCCTTCAGCTACTTAGAGTTTTCGGTGAAGAAACTTAGAATACCTTGGTGTCGGTGTTGACACTAGGCTAATGAGCAAAGTATCATGTTGCAAAATATTTTTGTTATTAGCAGAAAATCAATAGATTAGCTGTATTAGAGCATAGTTGTGTTATTTAAAGGTATTCATGAGAAAGGTGTATATATGTATGTGTTATTTGATTCACGACTAAAAGAATTCGATGGTGATGTTTACAACGGTAGCTCACAATAATATTAGTTACTGTCTCATGGAAAAAAAGAAATGACCTAATGCTGAGGCTACGATCTGCTGACAGTTGTGTAATGAACTAAGTGTTTGAGAGGCGATTGGCAATAAACTTTGTTTTATGATCTGCATTTACTCTAGGTCGACGTTTCGATAATACTTTAGAAATCCTGATGGGTAACATTTCAACTTATGCTGCAAATTCTGCGATAAAAATGTCCCTTTTTGACACTGAAATGTCAATAGTGAAAAGTCAGGGAACTCTGAGTCACTATGAAAGTAGTGAAGTTGAATGTGACTGAATGGTTGATGAAATTGGTAGCAGTGCCGTTGTTCCAGTTACTGTATATTCTTTTCAGCTTCTCTGACTACTTGGGGAGTAGAATACGTTCGAGTTGTCTTGTTGTTGGAGAAATCTCACCTGGAATATGAAAGGCTGTTTCGGTATTTGCTGACTTACACCACAATCTGCGTTACAGTTTTCTCTATCCTGTTATACGACTGCAAACTTGGTCACTGAAAGCAGAAGACATGTTAAGATTAGAATCTTTAACGACAGGTGTCTTTGTAGTATTGTTAGCGTATGGCGGAATTACCGTGTGAGCATTGATTATGTTAAGCGGAGATAATCAGGATAAGAAAGTAAACCAACAGATGAGGTTATGAACTTTCACTAACTGAAGTTGACTGGACAAATGTTTCGTATTCAGAGAGCCCACCAAACTCAGTGTCCAATATTAGCCGAAGCAGGGATGGGTTGGAATAAGGTTCAGGGTGGCCACAATAGGATGTTACCGCAGTTCATCAGGTCTTTGACTAATGGTGTAAATCATATAGGGAGTCACAGAATGTCTGACTGAAGTCCTCAAGATGCCAAGCTATAACAGCTGAATATCTGTCACAATGATGCAGAAGTGTAAACTTCCTGGCCTCTTTGAAGTCTTGAATATTTCTATTAACCTTCGTCTATTTATTCTATCAACTCTCTGATACTTTTGTCTACTATAGCATCGCCCTTTTTCTACCTAACTGTTCTTCTGCATAATTTTGTTGTCTGGTAACTTGTAGCAATACACTTCTCTGTCAGGTCCCACGTTGGCTTACCTGTTTATCTGCCTGTCTACTTCTCTAATGATTCATTTTCAAATAATTAAGTATAGAGTAATCATTTATCTTAATGACAATACTCTTTTTAGTCTTCGAACTAAAGCAAACTCACAGTTTATTTGAATTTTATTGTTAGATAAATGAAGCACAACTTTACTGTTGGATACACTGAAGATGAAAGTAAATCACCATAGGTGGCCACAACAACAACAACAATAGTAAAAAACCAGTTAACTATTCATAAAAATCATCAAAGCCGACTTTTAACTAACTGACAAAATTAGAAGTAAACTAATGTGATAACTGAAATGGTTCTAACACATACCTCAACTAATAATTGGAAGTGTAAGGTAGTAACAGTGTCACGTGATCATAACATTGCACTTGTCTACACTTTTCCGTGCCTATGAGTCATAAGTCAAGTTGAGTACAAGACGTAATATTTTTAAATTGTTAACTAGTAGTCCTTTTTTCCTTCTATCCATGACAACAACTGATCACTCTTAAATACTTGCAAAAGAATTCAGAGAAATTTCAGAGATTGATATTCATGCTTAATGATTAGTTAAAATTTCATTTCACATACGAGTATACTGAATAAAGCTCCTGGGGAAGACAGCTATGCGTCAAGAAGCAAACAGTTAGTTGCCCCATTTGAGACAAAAAGATCTATCTAGGAAGCTATTGTAATGACGTTTGAAACAAACTTATGCATCAGTCATTCGCCAGACATCTGAGCATATTCCCAGATTGTTAAAAAACTTGAGAGCTGCTCAACAGATGTCGCTTAGTTTAGGTATGAGAACTGAGGGCTGGTAAGCTAGGGACTTTTAGTTCAAACCCTGCTGACAAGCTGGTTTTCCTTGCAGAATCATTTATTACCCCGCAACAAAAAATTCGCACTTTGAGGGTACAGCTATCGAAATTAATTGAAGTAGTTCACTAAGTCCTCAGGTGAGTTCATGAATTTTCGCGGTGATGGGTAGATAAAGGTTTGCCTTTTCCATTGATGAGAATCAATGCAATGAAGTTATCAGATAGCTAAACGTATCCACTCTTTGTAAAAATATGGACAAACGGCTTATCTTTAAAACAGCAACATAGTTACTAAGGCCTGAGAGCGAAGCCGTACTGCCTACTGGGGATATGACAGTTTTACAATGTTTCCAGCGGGTAATTAGTAGTCACATATTGATGCTACCAAACCTATAAGAGAAGAGGGTTTAGAGCATTCCTTCTGCCTTATGGTTTTCCAAGGCGGGTGGTATTTATTTTTTGGCTGAATTTATATCACTCAAAGCTAAATCTAAAATGTCAAAAAGAGCTGTGTGTGTTAGGCACTAAGAAGATGTTCCTTAGGCTCTGCGGTCAGGCACTACAACTACTAATGCTATCTCGTTTTCGGATGCTTTAAGAAAAAATAGCCATTCAGACTGAGGGCAGTAGGAAAGGGTTATCTCTCCTCGTAACTGTGTTAGGACTTGAATTCCCACAAATCATTATCAATCCTCAATATCTTTGCCTTCTAACCTCTCCTTACATTTCACGGTCAAGGTTTCTACATTTTCTTGAATTTCTTCCAGTTCCACATCTATTGATAGCTATTGGCGCTTAAGAAATAGCATCCATGGTCTTCTAGAATAGCTTAGCAAACTGAGTATCTGGGTTTTCAATGCCCATACTCCCCGTCACCTTGGCCTACAGGCTTTTGTGGTATCTCGGGTCATAGAAGCCTGTTGCGTTTGTGAGAAGACTCACGTGCGGGCATCCACTCAACCTCATTCGACCAGTCTGATGAGTCTGTGAAATTCACCCTTCGAGTTTTTGTTGGTTCTCTGTCAAGTTCTCAGGGTTGTTCAGGTGTGGACATCTTATTAAGTGCTAGGGCAGGGAGTCCACTGTCTGACTGGATCCAAGTTGATAGTTGCCTATGCACTTTTTGACTGAACGGTATAGTAAGGACCAAAAAGCAGTGAGAACCTCTGTTGTCCCTTAATCTTTGCTTAAGCACCCACTGACTGCAGTTCAGAAGATGTGAAGGGTGAGTTCTAGTGAGAACTGTCTAACCTCATACTGAAAGCCACAAGTTCAGACATAGTTTCGATCACAAGTGATTTCAGTGCGCAAGTGGGTAATAACAATTCAGACGGAAAGATCTCTAGTTAGTGCTTTCTGTATTACAGTCGAAAGGTGAATAGAGATGTTGTATGACCTGGTGTTCATAAATCTCAATTCAATGGTGTATACAGATATACTACATTGCCACCAGTTAACGCTGATGAGGGCCCGTGAAAGATAACTACTCCTTCTAGAGCACGTGTATGGACAGTGGTCAAGCGCTAATTCTATTACGCGCATATCTGCACCTAAGTGGACTTAGAGGAAAATACAGCAGTGAGACCACTGTGGGCAAAGGTCGACCACAAAATTACTGTGGCCACTTCCAGCGAGATACTGGTCAGAACAATATTACTCACCTAGAAACAACGGGACAGTATCTACGGAAAACAGCTTTAAGAACCATAGTTGGCGTTCAGGAAGTAGTTATGAAGGGCCAGAGGATCTCAATAACTTTTTCAGAAACAGTTGATGTCCACGAAAGCATTTCTGCAAGCTCGAAACACAACAAGGAGAAGGAGCAACTGAAATCTAGACTGCGGAAAAGCCTACGCAATGACCACGAGCAGTGGTGGGTTGCGAAAGACAAACAGATGGAAAAGGGTAGACAGTCATTCCATGTGAACAGACAGACTATAGAAAAAGTTGATAGTTAGTGATGCTATAGCAAAGAAGAATGGGTATGCGATTCATCCATAAGTAGGATGTCTGGAACCGTGGGTGGAATATTTAGATAAATTGTCCTGCTGATCTCCAACTACTATTCCATTACCCTCTATTCAGTAGGATCCTGGAAGGAACATTGAGACAGCCGTCAAACTCTTACGGAAGTCATCAAAGCTATGAGCATCCTGAGACAAAAAAGATTAATGGGCCAGGATGGGCTAGTATAGGAGGTATTTAAGGATGGTGGTCGAGGATTGTGGGTCAGGTTAACTAAATTGTAACCCAGCGTAGGGAAACCAGATACTATGCGCTGTGAATGGTTTCAATCGCTTACTATCTCAGTTTGTGAGCAAGCGGAGAAATTCTTCTGCTGATAATCACATAGGAAGCAGTCTGACGAACATAGGGTCTAAAATTCTAGTTCCGATAATTATTATGCAAACAGAAAACCCCAGAAAGCTAAGAAAGTTTCAGATCTGATTGTGGGTGTATCGACGAGATATTCACTCTTCACCGGATTCTGTAACATAGACAAACTTACTGTCAATCTACTCAACCCGTATTTTATGACTTCAAGGCAACATTCGACCACCTTGGTTGCAAAGTCTTATAGCAGAGTCTGTCGCTGAAACATGTATTCGGTAAGTAAATCAGGCTGCTGAAAGCTCTTTATCTGAACATTTTTGGGGGACATAGAACCTATAGTAAGCTGTTAGGTGAATTTTGTACGTTACGTGACATCCGTCTGGAACGTGCACTATTTCCATTCTTATTAAGCTCTACCGCGAACATGCTTACGAACTTTTCTCTCTTCTCATCTGACTTTATAGGGATTGATCTCTTCACGCTAGAAACCTTAGTAGATTTAAAGTATTTAGATGGTCCTGTTAGGTGAAGATATCATGATACAGAGCCTTCTAGACACCCCAAAATGGCAATTCAAGAATGATTTGGATGAGTTTCTAACCAACCAAATGTAAATTGTTGCTACAAGGTTGATCTTCGCCGGTCCACCACCTAACGGTAATGATTAGGTGTGTTGACCACTTCAATTAAACGGAAAGTCGAATCAGTCCACATGATTCAGTGACCGATCAAATCTCTGCACGGATACGAAAGGCTAGTTTACACCTCGGGAACGTGCACCATTTACGGTTTTGTTATGATATCCGATTATGTCTTCTACCTGGATATGTTGGTACTTGATGTAGCAGTTCTGAACGTTACGCAGAGATGACAGGTCCCACGTTTAGGATGTCTGACTGACTGAACTCAAGTAGCGTGTTTGTTAAACAACACAATGCACTATTTTCATGAGATGAAAAAGTATGAAAACTATTTGGATACTCACTCATATCACGACAGTCATAAATAATGTAAAAAATTGACCAGTCTCAGCAAATTCTGATTTAATTTAGCATGTCTGATGTTGTGTGCATTTTCAAACAAAGATGAACATCATATTTTTAACTGAATTAGTAAAAAAATACATATGAATTCATTTTGGACTTGCTTGAATTTATTTAAACAAATGAGAAAAGTATAATCGATTCTTTTATAATATCTCGCTTTTGGATTATTCTGTTTAATGCGTTAGGAGATGAAGTATTGTTCCTAGATAAGTTGTCGTAGTGACATTGACAACAGATGGAAATATTTCATTGGAGTGTGACACCAAGACCTAGCTGACAGTCAGTTATCGTAGCTCAAATGACAGTCCTAAGGCCATTTATGTAAATGTGACTAGATTTTCGATGTCGACGGTTTGGTTATCCGATATCAGACTACACGGACATTCTGGTGTCCAGGTTGACCAAGAGCTGAGAATTCTCTTAAATCCTATTTATTAGTATGTATTTCAACCGATACTAAAATATCCCGTTTTTATAAGTTTCAAGATAACTGAAATCGAACACTGAAACAGTTGGATGCCTTACTCTCACCAGGCATCCAAAACTACATGCAATGAACTAAAGACCAGTCGGTATTGGTAATAACAATGGGCACTGGTTTTGTTCTATCATGAATTGCCTTTGGATACCCGATATATATTTGAAAGTTACGGACATCTATCCCATTGTTATTTGAGTCATCCTAGTTCCAGTCAGTATGAATTTCATTATTGTAAGCTGGAAAGAAAGGAGAGGAATATAACAGACTAGTTGACATTTGCATTTACCAGCACTTCATGACCTAACCTGATTACTCTGTAGCATAACTGGTTCTAGCTATGAAACCCAAAGTCTTCAATCCAAGCTCCTAAAAGATCTGAATAGATTTCAGTTAGAAAGAGATTGTTACTCAGCACTCATTGGCTCGCAGTACTTTGTGGTCAACATTCAAAGGTAATTATTAGACTGAACAGATCAGACTAACTAAATTCTCTTTTTCTTCTGTTAGTATATTCCTATACGGAAAAGAAGTTACAAGTTTTATTTTTGCTTCATTTGTCAAACAGGCTTGAAAATCGATATTAAATGTTCATGTGATACTTTACATTAGTGAGTTGGATGTATTCAGAACTCCAGAATAATGATCATTATAAATTCACACGAGTTTGATTAACCAATGGAAATAAAGGTAATTATGAAAAAAATAATTCATGCTAACATGGTGTATACGTCTATTCTGGAGTTGAATTCATAGGTCCCATAGTGTGCTAGGAATGTTTCAGCAGTGTGGTTCTTCAGGCAATTGACTTGAAACTCAACTTCGATGTCTACTGATGATTTGGCAATACGAGTGATTCTTCGAGGTCACACTATAAGTTTTTTTCTTTTAAAAATGTGGAGCTGTACACACCTAAAGCATTACCTGGTGCTCTCAGGATGGAACTCCAGAAGAACTTAGTTCAATCACATTCCTAGATTCGTAGTTATAGCTTAAACCGCTCTGAATCTCATTTGATCCTAAGTACTTCTTACTGCTTTTTGATTTACAGAGAATGCTTTAGCGAAACTAGATATAATTCCTTCACCTCTTTTGTGTATTACTTAACTGATGTAAATGTACTGAGGGAAAGCTAGGGGTAGTCGTATAAAACTATGGCATCTGTTGATGAAGTCGTTAGTTGTTGGCCTGAATAGTCAAATCCCTTGTTGTGGTCCCCAAGAATACTAGAGTTCGATGGTCAAACGCTTTAGAAGGTTCACCTATATCTTGCTTTCATCATAAGCTCTGAAAGTTTAATATTGTATGTCTCCTTTTTATGGATCTACGGCTCATGGTTTTAAGCACTTGGGTCATGGGTTTTGAACATTGCTTAATCTATCGAGGTTTAAGAAGGCAGGTAGTATTATTAGCCCTTACTCATTGTCTGCTGCGCAAACGCGTATATGTTTGCTGATTTCAATTCAGTTTCGTTTCTGTTATATGTCTGGGTTGGCTGTTTGGTTAATTGTTATGGCCTTAACCTCCATCGGGGTTTCCTATTGGATCTTATGATTAACAGACTGAAGGGGAATGCTCAGAGGCTGTTCCCGACTGTGATTATTTCCGGGGTCACTATATATGAGTTGACCCTACAGCCACTAACACCACACCCGGTGACTGAGGGAGAAGACGACATGGGACTGTTAGCCATAATTATGTGGCAAGATATATAGAAAATATATAAGGATTTAAGAGAGTAAGCGGCCTAGTCAGAGTGTCAATGAATAAAGTCACAAATAGATACTTGATGGATATTTGTAATTGCCTGGCTATTGCTGTCATTCTTTTTGGTTACGGACTTGGAAATTTCGATAACCTTAGTTTTCGATACTATATTTTGAAACAATGCCGAGAGTGTTATTTTCATTCCTTTGGTTTTTCTCGTGTAGACCTCTTTCATGCTGTACAGATATTCAATGTGGCAGCATCCACTGATGTTGCTCATATCTATTTGCCTGTTTGATTAATCAATTTCAAATTTAGAGAGAATATCTCAATGGGTAAATTCACGCTTTTGTTTGCCGGTATATTTTTGCCTGCCTAAATAGGACATTCATAAGCATATCCGAATTTCACAATGAGCAGATTCCAACGTGTTTAGTTATTTAGTCAAACATTCTGCACTTTTCAGTATTCTTGATTAAACTAATTGTTAGAAAACGAATGGAAAACGACATGTAAGCACGTCATTATTTGATTATTTATTGTTAATTCATTCAATGTTCACAACACAAATATGTTAATTGTATTCTAATGATTGTATGTTAGTAATTATTTTTGAAAAGGACACTTGAACACATTAAATCACGGTTACCTGAAATAAAACGAGGAAATCATTGTCATTGAGATGATTGGCAAGAAAATGAATAATCAGGAATCTAATTTACATATGGTGCTGTATTATCAGTTTTGGTACCTTTGTCCACCAAAAGTTGCTTGGACTCACATACATATGAACGCAAACACGCACAGATATCTACAGACGTAACAGACAGGGATAAAAGTACTTATCCTTCTACTTATTTAGGATGAAATAATCACTAGGTTTCACCTTATGACCTTGTTCTGAGGATCAACAAGCCTTGTTTATCTTATACTTGTATGGTGTTTCTAGGAGATGGCAAACAGTGACTCGTGCCAGTAACTAAGTTATCCGAACAGTGAGATTAAATCTTCATTGGTGATAATGTCTGGTAGTTGCACTACATTACGAGTAGAGTTTGTCTGGAATATGCCAGCCTTTTATTGCTAGGTTACCGGCCTTAAGATAAATGGTATTGTGTTAGGTTGTCACTAGTTCACACATATTGAAAACTGATGAAGTTGTTGTATGTTCCGAGTGAGCTATTCCCTGAGCTAATGTTTCAGTTAGCATTGTCATCAGTGAATCAGAGCTTCATAAGGAAGTGAAGCAGTTGATCTTGCATGGATATTTACTGTGTGCTACTTTGTCTAGTTGTGATTTGATTGGTTACTTGGTGAGTGCATGCGCGTGTTTTGAACCTGTTTGGTTGACTTCTTGCCTTTTGTTTTTTGAGAGGGTTTGCAATTGACTTTG